GGGGCCTTCGGTGGAGCTACCTATGGGGCCACGACCCTCGGGAGGGGTGTGCCGAAATGGGCGGGGGGACGCATGCAAACCCTGCCGCTGGGGCCTTCGGTGGAGCCCCCTATGGGGCCACGATCCTCGGGAGGGGTGTGCAGACATGGGCGCGGGGACGCATGCAAACACTGCCGCTGGGGCCTTCGGTGGAGCTCCCCATGGGGCCACGATCCTCGGGAGGGGTGTGCAGACATGGGCGCGGGGACGCATGCAAACCCTGCCGCTGGGGCCTTCGGTGGAGCTCCCTATGGGGCCACGATCCTCGGGAGGGGTGCGCCGAAATGGGCGGGTGAACGCATGCAACCCTGCCGCTGGGGCCTTCGGTGGAGCTCCCCATGGGGTCGCGATCCTCGTGAGGGGTGTGCCAACATGGGCGCGGGGACGCGTGCAAACCCTGCCGCTGGGGCCTTCGGTGGAGATCCCCATGGGGCCGCGATCCTCGTGAGAGGTGTGCCGAAATGGGCGGGGGGACGCATGCAAACCCTGCCGCTGGGGCCTTCGGTGGAGCTCCCTACGGGGCCACGATCCTCGGGAGGGGTGTGCCGAATTGGGCGCGGGGACGCATGCAAACCCTGCCGCTGGGGCCTTCGGTGGAGCTCCCGATGGGGCCACGATCCTCGTAAGGGGTGTGCCGACATTGCAGACATGCGGCGATTTTTTGGGGGGCCCGCAAAGCTACAGCTATCAAACAGTGGGCACTGAGCCAAGCAGAGCACAGCGACAGCGAGACCGTGGGTCTGCAGCGCGGGGCGACCTGCGGGGAATGGGGAATGGGAGGAGGGAGGAGGGAGGGCAGGAATGGGAGGAGCGAGCAGAAGCAGGAATGAGAGGAGGGAGGAGGGAGGACGGAGGGGGCAGCGGGAGGAGGTGAGCTGCCGGGCGCTGTCTCTTCAAAACGAGGGCCCAACACCACAGGATGGTTTTCCGCCCCGGACACTCAAAAGGCTGCCTGGGGGGTCGAGACCCCTTGGGCCCGCGGATGGACAAAAGACGGTCCGTCGGAGGTCTGGGGAGGGTGGCCAGCGCCACCAACTCAGCCCTCTGTTGTCTCGTTCTGCGCTTGACTCTCTTCTCTTTTTCTCTCTCTCTCTCTCTCTCTCTCTCTCTCTCTCTCTTTCTCGAACTCCCCAACTCTCTCGCTCTCTCTTCATCTCTCGTTCTTTCTTACTGCTTCCTTCTTTGCGACACAACGCCAAAGACACACGTAATAGGGAGTCGTGGAGACTGCGCGGCGGCAACCCAAACGGTCGCAGCTAGGGGACCCCGGATCCGGAGAGGCAAAGATCGACACGTATACAAACTCTCGGAGATCCGAAGCTGGGAGGGGAGCCCAGCGACGACACCAGAAACCGGCGCGGAGTCGCGCCGATTCCTGGTGTCGGGCTCGCGCTGCGACGACGTGGCCGTTGGTTTCTGGCATCGCGTGGGTCGATCAACCACGAACGACCGCGATTGTTCGACGGCGTGGGTCGCTCGATGCCCGCCCGCTGCATGCCACTGGCGGCGTTCAACCTTTCACGTCCGCACTGGGTTCACCGCCGACCGTCGGCGCAGCGCGAGCCTGCCATGGGCCCATCCTGGGCCCGGTGTCGACGGAGCGGCCCTCCGCGGACTCACCGCCACCATCCTGTTGCACGAACGACTGCCCTCCACCTCCTCCTCCCCCTCCTCCTCCTCCTCCTCCTCCTCCTCCTCCTCCTCCTCCTCCTCCTCCTCCTCCTCCTCCTCCTCCTCCCACTCCTCCTCCCTCCTCCCCTCTCCTCCTCCTCCTCCTCCCCTCCTCCTCCTCCTCCTCCTCCTCCTCCTCCTCCTCCTCTCGCTCCTTCCTCCCCTCCTCCTCCTCCTCCTCCTCTCCTCGCCCCTCCCCTCCCCCTCCCCCTCCTCCTTCCTCCTCCTCCTCCTCTCCTCCTGCCTCCTCCTCCTCCTCCTTCCTCCTCCCTCCCGCCTCCTTCCTCCTCCTCCTCCTCACTCCTCCTCATCGTCCTGTCGCTCCTCCTGTCCTCCTCCTTCCTCCTCCTGTCCTCCTCCTGTCCTCCTCCTGTCCCCCCCCCCCCCCCCCCCCACCCCCTCACTCCTCCTCCTCTCCTCCTCCTCCTCCTCCTCCTCCTCCTCCCCTTCCTCCTCCTCCTCCTCCTCCTCCTTCCTCCTCGCGCCTGTTCCTCCTCCTCCTCCTCCTTCTCCTCCCCTCCTCCTCCCTCCTCCTTCCTCCTCCTCCTCCTCCTCTGCCTCCTCCTCCTTCCCTCCTCCTTCCTCCTCCTCCTCCTCCTCCTCCTCCTCTCCCCTCCTCCTCCTCCTCCTCCTCCTCCTCCTCCTCCTCCTCCTCCTCCTCCTCCTCCTCCGCCTCCTCCTCATCCTCCTCCTCCTCTACTCCTCCTCCTCCTCCTCCTCCTCCTCCTCCTCCTCCTCACTCTCCTCCTCCTCCTCCTCCTCCTCCTCCTCCTCCTCCTCCTCTCCTCTCCTCCTCCTCCGCCTCCTCCTTCCTCTCCTCCTCCCTCCTCCCCGCCTCCTCCTCCTCCTCCCTCCTCCTCCTCCTCCTCCTCCTCCTCCTCCTCCTCCTCCTCCTCCCCTGCGAAGCGCTCTGGCGAAGCGCTCTGGCGGGAGCGCGAAACGTCCCTGACACCAAGAACTGGCGCGACCCTCCACCCCCACAAGAAATGGGGCCCAGGACCAGCGCGTGCGGCCAGGACGCCGAAACGGGGACCACGTTAGGCTGAGGAGGGGAAATCGCCTTCGGGCCGTTCCCAAGACCTGGGTCGCGGAACCCGTTCGTGGCCGAGGCTCGCCCTTGCAGAAAAGCCCCTTCGCTCCCTAGATTGGCGGTCCTGATGGCAGCACGATGACTGCACGCCCCTCTTGGACACAGGACGGTACTGGCCTTAGGTCGAGCACGTCCTCCTACAGGCGGACTTTGGACGAAACCTGGAAAAGGTAGCCAAAAAATACTCAACCAAAAAAAAAAATCAAATAATCGTCCCCAGACTATTTCTTGACTGTTTTTGGAAATCTCTCCTGTAGATGAACGTGCCCGACTTGACACCGGCCAGGACGGCGTGCACGCAGATCTTGGGCCCAGGACGGTGCTGGCCAGGGCCGGCGTCGGTGCGTTGGCTGTGGTCGCCGGAGGGCCTTCGTCTCGCTGGCGGCGTCCGCGCTGGCCGGGCCGCAGCAGGCGCACGCCTTCAGCGTGCTGCTGCCGTCGGCGTGCACCTCGTGGCCGAGG